TGGTCTATAATTTAAAAATGATTGACATCTCTTGCTTATTAAATTCACAGTCACAAGGGGCTGGAGCTTATCCAAGCTGTCATACGTGGCAGGCAGGGTGTACTCTGGACAGGTCAGGGCTAACACGTGGAGCCAATCATTCAGCTTCAGATTCATATCTGAAGTCAATTTTGAGTCACTGGTTAACATGTTTCGACTCTGGGAGTTTAAAAAACACAGGACCTTCTTACTGAGAGGCAAAAGTGCTCTTATCAAGAAACCTGATCCTCCTCCCCTTAGACAACCTGCAACAGGAAACTGAAAGTCATTTGACAAACATTATAATTTAACATTATGGTGACATAAAAGCACATTTTAAGACAGCTATGATGACAGAAATCCATAAAGGCAATGAACCAACCCAAAGACTGGAAAAACAGCAACAGCAATAAAAAAGGGTGCACACTCTGAAACAGAGAATCAATAATGCTCGCTATGAAGTCACTGGCAGTCTGTTATATCACCACCAGAGAGGTTAAAGGTGACCTGTTTCCCTCACCTACATCGTATCCACCTCTGATAACTCTGGCTTTACAAACAGCACCAAGTTCTACAAAGTAAACAAGCATACTGTCAAATTTTTACCAACTACAGTTTAGAGATAAGCATTTACATTACATATGTACTCATATGCTGCATTTCACACTACTACAAGCCACTATCTGAAAGGGAAAAATACTACCTTTTTCACAGCTGTATGCACTTGTTAAATTTAGACCTTAGCCAATAAACAACTTAAACTCCAAACAATTATGGGAACCATTATGTAATCTTTCTATTTTGGATACGACGTTCACATCCAATTTTCTGTGAGATTTGCAGCTTTGGGAATTGGAAAGCCTCTTTAAGATGACTTTAGTATTTTTAAACTACAGCAAATTTAAACTTTTATGAAACTTTAAAAAATATATATACTAGAGGTGGACTGAATTATAATATCTCTAACACTGTATTGCTAAAATTCTTGTTGACCGTTGATCCTGAGGTCCCCCACCAGAGTACTTCACTTTTTTTTGGTCCACTTAAATGTTTCAAATCATCAAACAAACTCTAATATTAGAAAAAGATAACCCAAGTAAATACTAAATGCAACTTTGTATTTAGTATTTACATTCAGAGAAGTTTACAATTCACCAAAAGTCACCCTTTCCGTTTCTTCATTAGGTTTATCTGCAAACACCACACAGCTAACTTACCCCATTGAACTCTCATGGACTTGTTTGAGTGCTTGACAAAAAACAAAACAAAACAAAGAAACCCAATCCCAAATCTAAGTCAATATTTTCAAATGATTTAAGATGAATGCCTTTGAGAAGTCTAGTTATTTTCTTTTCAGACTACCATATATGACATATAACTTTATGACTATATAACTTCTTTTAAAGAGTTTTTCCTGGTAGTGGAAAGCATCTATCACATACCACAGTAACCTGGAGCACTATAATATTGTTTATTTGTCTTTAAAAGAAAGCATAATGAACAGCGTCTCTGCATAAAGATCCTGGCCACTGCATTTCCCGGATTGTAACACAAGAGGGAGCGCTTTTGCCATTAGAGCAGCTATTATTCCTGTTGTTGAGTATTTAATCACAAGCCTCCTTTAAAGGATCTAAATTCTCTCTGACAAAATTACAATATAATTTGTTGTGGAGAAAATGTGTTTATTGTAAGTTTCTTGTGGCTCAGTAGTAATGTAAGACTTCTGTAACTGCTGATCAGAAACATGCTGTTCAGCAGGAGATATCTGCAGAACGACATGGAAAGATAAACTGGCGGTGTAAACGCTAAACGTTGCCACACGTTTACGTTTTGAGTCTTCGTTTTAAAAGTCAAGAAGTTACCCCAGAGTCTGATAAGTCTGCCTTCCTTTCTAATTTATGAAAAAAGAAATCAATGAATCACAGTTAGGAAGAAGGAAGAGCTCTGTGATGATGATGATGATGATGACTATGTGGGACTTTAAATATGGGCGATGTGTCTTTCTGGTCTTTGTCAGTATCAACGGAAGGCCCTTCAGAGAGAGTTGGACTAGATTTGGACTGCATCGCTCTGAGACAAGATGTCCTCAACTTTATATATTACAGTCCCAGATGCTTGTCTTGTGTTAATATGACTTAAGTGTTAAAAACTTTAAAGAGTGTAATGATAGTCAAGGTTTCTCCTAATCGAAACTCAGGTCAAAGTATAAAAGACTGTAATTTAGAGGTATGTGAATGTTTGTATTTTATGAAACGTTCACACATATTTCTGCAGATTTCTTTGCTACTCTATGATTAAATAGCATTTTTCTGACAAAGGCCCAGATATTACTTTGGGAATAGTCTGAATTTAAACGGACAAGCTTCCTTCTCTAGCTTTAACGGCTTAAATAGTTCCAGTCTTCGTTTTTCAAAGGGGCCCTGAAGCTGCTTAACCATGCAGTCTGAACTCAGCTTAGATCATTTCCACGGGCTCATTGGGGACCGTGTGAACTGCTGCAGTTCAGGCGGAGGGTGGCGCACCAAGCCAAAGGATTGTGTCTGGGACCCTCAGAGGTCACCACGGGTCAGAGCGCAGCGCCTGACAACACGGTCCACAGCGGCTACTGCTGCACACTGAGCCGCTGTTAGGCTTCGTGACTGGAGGCTTGTTTATGGTGTTTCAGTGTTTTTTTTTTTTTATCTCGCAGCGATGCCATTTGCAATAAAATAAAAAAATAGATTATTATGATTAGAAAATAACCTAAAATGCAAAGATTGCACCAGACTCCCACAGGCATACTTGTCAGTCATCTTAAAAACAGATCCTCTGGGTGAATATTATTCTTTTATGTGCAAACTGGAGCTTTGAACAGACAACAGAAACCATTTGAACATCCACACTGAATTTCCTTAGCAGCCCGCTGATATAACTGTACAAAAAAGTTAATTTGAGCAAGAAAAAACTGATCATGCACACATGAGCTACATATAACATTATCATACAAAAAGAGTCTTAATCATCTGATTTATGTTCAGATCTTGTTGATCTACTTTTGCATGTAAAGTAAAACTAAAAAAAATGGATTTAACATGAGCGATGTGTCCTGTTAGGAATACTATAGGCTCACTTTAAACATACACTATTACACTATTATTAAATATATACAATAAATTTATTAAAATGTTCACAAAGAGAATTCACATGTGATTTATATTCAGTTTGCTGTGTTACATTTTCGCTAAGATCTCTTAAATGTCATTTTATACCACTTGCCATTTTGTGCCATTTTAGGGGAACAGAGTGATATTTAAATGCATATTTATTCATATGCGCTCTTGTGTCAAAAGTCCGCATTAGAGTTTATTTCTCAGTAAATTGAATTAAATTAGCTAATACAAAAGTAATCTACACATTTATGCTGTTTTTTTAATGCCGTAAGAACTTTTTCTTTCTGTGGTGTTCAACAGGTGCTTGCTTTGCGACTGAATGCAAGTGCGCACGAGATAAATCAGCCCAGAAAGCGCGATTCTGTGCCCAGTGAGTGTACAGACTCTGCAGCAGTTTGATTTCATTCAAAGTAGATTGTTTAATATGCTCTAAAAAAGATAGTAATGCTTTTGCTCCTGAACAAACTAAAAGTTAAGCAGTTAATATGCTGCAAAAATGTTACAGAAGCTGAGAAAGAAGGAGAAAAGGTGTGATAAAAGCTGACAGATGAGTGATTTCATTGTCAAGGCACAAAAAACTATTAATATATATCCCATTTATTAAAACATTCGAAGTTTTACCAACAATAATTATCTGAATATGAAATACATTTAATGGATCACTACGAAACAAAAACCGTTAGGCTGAGAAACCCCGACTCACGAGTTGGTTTCCTTCTGACGCAACTCTGCCGTTTAAAGTCTGACAGCAAAAACTTCCAGTATTTAATTCAGTTTCTTTTACAAAAGCAACAGCGCACAAGTCCCACAATATTTCAAAGGACAAACACATAAAAAAAGTGTTAAAAACTCCACACTCAAGTAATTGGATTTTATGCCCCCGTCCCGCACGCTCGCGCCTTTCTCTCCATGGTGCTCTAAAAACTCTCCAAAAGCTTCAGATGTCTTGTGAGCTTTTCTTTCTCGATCTCGGCCGCTTTTAATTCGTCGACATCGCTCACAGGATCAAATATATCCAAGCACAGTGAAAGTTTCGAGATTAAAACGTTCTCATTGGAAGAAAAAAAAAAAGGAGCTGGATCAAACTGTTTTGGCGCATGAGAGCACTTTGAATCTGTGAGAAGGAGCGCACACAATAAATCTGTTGTTAACCTTGCTGTGAAAATATGTTTGAAGAAAACAGCCAATTGTTGTATGAAATGTATTCAAGTATAAAATAATGCCCTTTGTTTGGGAGAAAAACTTCAGCAATGTGAGGGTACAAAAGTCCCCTGTGGCATTTACCAGCACCCTTTGTGCTGTTTGCGCTTTGGCGTCTCCACTTGGCGCATTACCCAGGCCCCTTTAAACGCGATTGTTTCTTTCTTTCTAATGACATTTACCGGATCAAAACATGCTGTTAATTCGATCAGAAAGCTTCACCCTTCATAACAATGGCAGTATAATTTCTCCCAAAGTTTGTTAAGTTGACCGAAATTAGGCAAATGAATAGGGGTCTCCAGGCTACCCATCTTGCAGGTGACGGGGAATAATGCGCGTTCACACCAGCTGCATTCTTCTTTATTTCTCCCTTTCTTTCACAGCATTATTAAAATTTAGGCCAATGAAACTATTCATTCGAGTGAATAGACATTTTCTTATAGGATAATAGGATACAAATTGAGCCTCTCCAAAGAGTCTCCAGTGGTGGGTAACCCTCGTGTGCCAGAGGCTGCTGGAGACGCTGGCCTTGACGCGGACGACGCTCGTGTGCCAGGGCTAATCACACACCTGCCGAGGAGTCCAACAAAATAAAGAATGTAAACAAAAAGCTTGCCATCTCTCATAAAAGATGGACGTGTCACCAAGTCGTGTGAGAAGCGCCGGGAACAAACGGGGGGACTCCGTCTCCAAAAGATCTCCCCTGAACTTGGCGGAACAGCCTATTAAAGGCTTACTTAATTACTCTAATGACACTGGACAGGCCTTAAAACTCGGACCGGGCTTGGATGAGAGTTAAGATCGCTTGCTGGGATTTGTAAACAGGCGATCGTGTGAGAAACGCGAGTTGGAAGAAAAAGCGATTCTTTTTTTCGCCGGCTTTGTTTTCAGTGCGCACAGTGCGCCCCGCCGGATCAGCCGATCCCAGCGCTCAGTTCTTATTTCCCGCCTGGGTTGTTACTATGCAAATAATATTCCAAAAGTAATCACGTGTCTTTTGAACAGCCACGTGGATTAACAAAGCAGGTTTGCCCCCCTGCTAGCCTATGGCTTTAGATTTTTACTATTTCTTTAACTGATCCTAAATGCACACATTTACCCAATGCATGTCTCTAATCCCATGGAATAATTTACACCATGAATGCGACAGTCCCTTGGATGGATCCTTTATAAAGGACAGCTTTCTGCTCAAACCTCAGTCTTCTCCTTCACCTTCCAGACCAGGACATCTCTACAGCTTCGAGCTAAATTCATTTTTAAGACGTTTATCAGGGATTCGTTGATGGCATCTAAAATGAAAGACAGGAAGGTATGCGCTCCCTGTGCGCTCGGCATTTTGAGGACAGAAATAATTTGGAAACTGGCACTTTTAAAGACTTTTGAGTACACTGTTGGAATTATTTGCTTCTCTATATAGCCTACAGCTAAAAGTGTAAAACTGCTATCTTCCGGACTTTTCACTTTAGAGGAGTAAAACGTTTTTGTGCATCTCCATGTGGCGCGCATTAAAGAGAAGCCTAACTTCTGTTGAGGTGAAAGACCATATTATGCAGTTCGGCAGTATCTGGTGGCAGCAGTGTGAACACATTTATCACAAACCTTTATAATCTGTTACACTCGTTAAACGATAGTCAGAGTATCGTTTACTTGTCTCAGAGATAACGAATTTGTCCAGAGCGCAGGTGGCCGCTGCGCGCTCCTGGAGCAGCACAGCGCGCGACGCGCAAAACCCGCCAGGATTTGTAGCTCTTCTTAGGATCTCTTCCACATTATTTCGTATTATTTTGAAAATTGTGGGATTTCCATTCTAAAAAAAATTAGCTTGTTTAGGACAGTAAGAGGGCGGCAATACAACGATTCCGTTTACTCATGATATCTCTTTCCCTGTTTTCACAGAGAACTCCAATCTCCCACAAAGTCATCGAGAAAAGAAGACGGGACCGCATTAATCGTTGCCTGAACGAACTGGGAAAAACAGTTCCAATGGCGTTGGCTAAACAGGTACTGTGAAATGTATCGCATATTTATTGTTGACTAGCTTTATTGTATAACATCTAAAATGACAAATAAAAAAGTTAATAGGGCAGTCCAGTCTTCTATATATGTAAACATTTTAAAATGTTTTTAAAAATAATTTTAACGATTCATTTTTTCTCAGAATTCTGGAAAACTAGAGAAAGCTGAAATCTTGGAGATGACGGTCCAGTACCTGCGAGCGCTCCACTCAGCGGACTTTCCCCGCGGGAGAGAGAAAGGTCAGTGAAGTCTTGTACTTTACGCATGACATTGCCATCGTCCTCTCAGCTAAGTTAATAGCTTCAAACGTGCTGGTCGTGTAAAATTTGGCAGACTTTTTTTTTTTAATGTATGTTTCACCGCATGCCCAGTTTTACGCACCAGAATGAGCCACAAAAACCACGAAGTGGTTGTTCAACATGTCACCCGCAGGGTTCTAACCAGCACTTATTTTGGCTAATTTCAGGCGAACTACTTGCTGAATTTGCAAACTACTTCCACTACGGATACCACGAGTGTATGAAGAACTTGGTGCACTACCTGACCACAGAGGATAGAGCTGAAACCAAAGACATCAAGTACGCAAGGATCCTCGCCTTTTTACAATCAAAGTCCCGTGTGGTCACCGAGCCTGTGTTCGGCTCTGTCGGCGCGATGCCAGAACCGTCTGAATATCTCAGCCAGCTGCATTCCTCCCCGGAGCACCAAAACCACAGCCCCAGTGACTCCGTGTACCAACAGAGTCCACCGGGACACTTCTCGTGGCACAGCTCAGCCCGCAGTCCAGGCATCTCATACCCAACAGTGCCACTCTCTGCCCACACACAACAGCACGGTGGATACTTGTCGCCGGTACCGGGACTCGATCACCACTATTTCAACTTCATCGGGCACACGCACGCAAATACGTTTAGTTTGCACAATGCGCAACACGCCATGTAAATAGCCCTGTTTTATGTTTTTTATTTATGCATATGGATCATGTACATGTTGTGAATAAATAGAGTATTTCTGCCTAAAATACTGCTTGTTTTGTTATCATTACACTTACATTAGGTGAGCAAGAGGGCCCAAATCTCCGAATAAAGCAACACACACACACACACACACACACACACACACACACACACACACACACACACACACACACAGAGAGACATAGCAGGATAAACCACAACTCTGGGAAAAGAC